GAAAATAGATATTTAAAATAGTTACAGAACCTTCTAATAAAAGTAAATAAAAATATTCATACAAGGATACTTAATAAATCTAAAAGAAAGCTAGCTTAGCCTAACAACATATAGCAAGCAAACGACCCCCCCAATAGTTGAATACGGTATTTATTATATAAAACCTAATCAATACATTTTACAAAATAGTTTCATGTACACATAGATTCTATTTATTTAAATCAAGCAGGTAATGGAAATACTTGAAGGTAGTGAAGAGTGTAGATGTGGTGTGTGGAGACTAAAATACTATAAGAAAACTAACTACATGATTCCTTTACCACAACCTAGATTCAATAATAACTCTTTGAACCCGAATAACTCGAGATTTCACCCACAAAGAAATGAAGACTTAAAAACCGAACCGGAAATAGACTAAAACTATTTCGATTTTTTTTTCTCCCTTGTCAAAACCAAATTTGGTCTAATAGAGACAGTAGTGAGACACGTCGTTAATTGGCCTTTCCCAGCAGGCTACGGTTCTTTGTTCTTTTTTTCTTTCTTGTTTGCTAGTCTGGGGCTAACGAGGTCCGTGTGGCGTGACAAGGTTCCATCAGGCAGGAAGATTTTGGTTCTTACTGATGTAAGAACCAGAAACACGACCGAAGTACATTTTCATTTTTTTTTATGGTTTTAATGAAGTAGAAGAGGCATTCGAATTTGTATATCAGTAGATTTCCACCACCAACATTGATTTTATACATATACATCTATATATATGTATATTTATATATATTCTAATATAAGACGCTTGATAGTGTGTCTGTCCTTTATTAGTATAGCAACATTTTCTTCGTATGAATGTTGTTGTAGCATGCAATCTATTTTTCTCAGAAATCACATCATTATTTTTTACCCATCATTCACATCCAATCGCTTAAGTACCATATAAAACCGCTAAACAAGCACAACTACAAAAAAAAACTATTTGCAAAACGGAAGTATTAAGCTAAACCTGCACTTGTGGTCATTTAAAAAAACTCAACATGTTTTTGTTTTTTTATAAATCGATGGAATGAAATTACACACTGTAAAGGATTTTTTAAATATTTATATAAAAAACTACAACTACACTAAAGAAATACCACTTAGTAAAAACAAAATAAGATTCTATTTCAATTTAAAAGTGCTGTTAACAATAATGGTGATCTGAACATTTCCAAACCCCCAGGGTAGCACCGGAGTGGTGACTAAACCCCCACCAGTCATGACTCCTATTGCAAGCAAGTCTCCCGCCGCCCCAGACAGTAATGGATATTGCAAATGTCGAATCGAGTCGCGGGCTATTTCTGGTTCCTAATGGAAAGATTAAGTTTCCAAGCAAATCGATACAGTGTTATTATGAAAAATGTTTTGTCATATTAGTTCAGGTCGATTTGACCAAAAACAATTTCCTTGAGCTGAAGTAAGATTTGTTTGGGTTTTTCATTTATTTATTTTTTAAATAAATAAAACCGAATCGGAGAATGTAAATTATTTTCAAGACTCCACACGTCTGCACGATTCTAAAGTAAAGAGTGTAAAATCAAGTGAAGTATCGTTCAATTAGTGCGTTAATGTAAGTCAAGTGTCCCCGAGTTCAACAACTCTCAAATCTAAATGTCAAGCTTTCAACTGTCGAAGTATAAACTATTTTTGATTAGGGCAATCCACTATAAAAACCATTTCTTCATTGAAGTCATTTAATTACATTTTTCCCAACAGCTCAAAGCGTCAAATTTTCATACATCAAGTCTACTTCCTTCATTTATACAACTTCTGTAGAGTATGTACGTAAGTTTTAAAAAAAAACAGTATAGTATGTACTTGAGTATAATTTGTTTAATATGAAACAAATTCAGTACGGTATGTGTATTCCAAAAGACAGACATAGTCGGGATGAGATTTTAACTCCACTGTCATTGTTTTAAAAAAAAAAAACTTTAAAAATAATCTCACAAGTTCTAGGTGCATCTCTACTGAAGTTTAGCAATGCTTGAAAAACAAGCAAGGTTTTTTTTTAAATATTTTCTTAAAAATCATGTTAATATTTCACAACTCTAACAAGATTAAAATAAGTTCTGTTGAACTTTTCTTTTTTTCCCTTCCAAGATTTTATCTTGAAAATATTTTTTTCCCACAAAAATATGCTAAAGCATTTTTAAAAAAGTATTTTTCTCTTCTTTAAAAAAGGATAACGTTACTGCTTTAATCTAATGATTGCTGAAACGGAGAAACGTGCCATAAATTTCTCAAATTAGTCACCCCATAATATTCTATTAACCCGTTTAGTGTCATAAATCAATTTTTTTTTCTTGTTTAAAATATTAAATATACCTCCCTAGCCCGCTCCGCCGCTGTAATTTTATACGCTTTACCGTAAATCAGTTGCGCTATTATTATAGTAATCTTAGAATGAAATATGAATACCTTACGTCTTAATAAATAATAGAGCGAGAAACAACAGGTTTAGCACGCGAACCAAGGAACTGGATACGAGCGAAAAAAATAGTTTATAGATACTGGAGACGGCATGCTATAGATGTAATTAGTTTATCATCCTGAACACCAGGGGTCTCCAAACAACGGCCCGCGGGCCGAATGCGGCCCGCGAGGTCCTCTCGTCCGGCCCGCGGAGATCTTTTTGTCCAAGGAAAAATCGTTTGTTGGTGATGTCTGAGGAACTTTGCCCAGAAAAATCATAGACATGCATGGAAGAAACTGGCCCCCGAGCTGAAATTTGAAAGTTAATGCGGCCCGCGGACTGAAAAGTTTGGAGACCCCTGCTGAACACTAAAGAAAAAACAAATAAGAATAGATCACATAACGCTGGGAAAATAACCCCCGCCTATCAGTGTAGAAAAATAAAATCATTATTTATATTTCTACACGCATTTATTTTGACGTCCCAAAAAAATATTTTCTTGACAATAATAGAATGTCTAAAGCAGAAACATAACTGTAATTATTTTCAGCACTGTAGTTACAAGTTATTAGTGAAGATTTTTTAAAAACAAAATTGTTTCGAAATTTGATGGGTTTTTTAAAAAATATTTGCCTCCAAGTCAAAATGACACTGTATATTGACCTCCCAAAATATATCTATCATAAGGGGGTAACTGGATTTGTATTTTTTTTTCTGTTGAAATATAATACCAAGGAAATGTTTAAACAATTTAAAAAAAATGTTTTTTTACAGTACATGAAGGAATAGCGTGGTCAGTTTTTATGCCCAGCCGTATTTACTTTCTTTAAGGAGATGCAGGTACCCATGTGAGCTTTGGTGGTCTCGAGGAAGACTTACAGTCTTAAGTCTGGGATCTGAACTCGAGACTTTCGAATCAGCAGTCGTGTCTCTACTTCCTGACCACGCCGAACCACAGAATACAAAGATACGATAAGAGTGAAAATTATTTAAAGGAAAAGTTATCCAAAGGAAAAGTTCTACAAAGGAAAAGTTATCCAAAGGGAAAGTTATCTAAAGGAAAAAATATCTAAAGAAATAGTTCCACAAAGGAAAAGTACCACAAAGGAAAAGTTATCTAAAAGAAAAGTTATCCAAAGGAAAAGTTATCTAAAGGAAAAGTTATCTAAAGGAAAAGTTATCCAAAAGAAAAGTTAACCAAAGTAAAAGCTTACAATTTTTATAAGAATAAACGCATATATTTAATCTCTTTTTACTTCATCTCTCTTGTTCCTAAAGACTCCATTACTGCTTTACCAATAAAAAAATAAATTCCATCGACAAAACATTTCAAGGTGTCGCTACCACGCTTCAAGTTAGCAAGGAATAATTCGCATCTTACACAAAACTCCCAGTTAGCGTTTTCTTTGTTACCATTCAACAACAGCTGTTCCACCTTGAACATTTAAAAATGTTCAAACTCCGGCTCAAGAGAACAAGCGTAGATGTTTATGAACGGTGAGAGATATTTTTGAGATGAGTGGCTAATCTTCCCGAATTCCCATACACCATTTTTTTTTCGTAAACCCATTAAATTATTTCGGAGAGAGGAATTTTTTTTCGTCTGTAAAATGGAAAAAGGGATGATGTATTTTTATACCCCCCCCCTCAATTTCCCAGTTGAGAATGCGACAGATGTTAGTGAGTGTGGAGATAGTTGGATTAGGATTAAAAACCTATTTAGCGGGGAAAAGGTTAAGGGGGTGGGGGCAGTTGATGTTAAGCTCAGCATACGACAATGGGCACAGGTGGGTTGCTAAAAGCTTTTAAATAAAGTAGAGCGAATTCTTGTGGTTTTAATTTTTTTTTACTACACTAGAAAAATTCTTTTCTTCTCAGGTGAGTCACGACCAGGCACCCCGCCCTATTGTTGTCATGGTTTAGAAAATCAATTTTTGCATTACAAAACTGCCCTCGCTTTTGTAGGGTCAGGACATTTTGCTTGTGTGCTGTTTTATTTGACACTATTCAGAAAGGTAAAATGAACTGGATTTAGGTAATAACTTCTGTTTCTTACTGACAGATGTATAAGGAAATCTGAGAAGTGAAAGTTGATGTAAAGAAAGTCTGTTTGCTATAGCTCTTAGGCGATTGCCCAATTATGATGTTTATTATATATATATATATATATATATATATATATATATATATATATATATATATATATATATATATATATATATATATATATATATGTGTGTGTGTGTGCTTATATATATATCTAAAAATATTTATAATTACATATATATATTACATATTATATATCTATATATATTACATATTTTATATATATAATATATAATATATATATATATATATATATATATATATATATATATATATATATATATATATATTACATAAATATCGTTATGTATTTCGGTATACATATATATTTATACACACACACAAACACCGAAAGAAAGAGATCACAACATTGAAATAATAGCGACAGTTTAAGTAACAAAGCGTATCTATAAAAATCTAACATCCTCTGTAACCCCACACCATCACCTACCTGTGTTACGCCTCTGGACTAGAGCATTGTGTTTCAGCTCCTGGGCCTATGGAGGGAAAAGAAATAAACAGCTGTCATATTGTATAAGATGGTGTCTGTAACAACAGGTACAGAGAGGACAGAAGGAATCGAATGTGGGTGAGACAGAACCTGTTAGGCTACAAAGGGTTAACACTATCTAGAGAGCTCTATCTCGTATTGTTACAGTCATTATCGGTTCAAACTACGCTTATCAGACAAGAAACCCGGTACAGGATGAAGAATTGATTATTTTTCTCAATCATGTTACCAACTAAATCATTTTTTTGCTGCCCCCCCCCCACCCCCGGGCACCGCACCACCTGATTTGGTGCTGCAGTGTTTCTTTCAGGCATTTCTTTGGGGGGAGGGGGGAGAAGGGGAGGGCAGCGTCCCACAAAGCACATCAGCCGCCTCTCCCCTCCCCTCCTCCCCACCCCCCGGAGAAAAAAAAAGTCAGAAAGAAACACTGTTCTGAAGTGAGGGGTATTTCGGCTGAGGGATTCATACGATCTTGAACTCTGGTTTCGAACTCAAAACATCCGGATTAGCAAGTGTATAGTAGATAGCTAACCAGTAGGATAGATATTTTCTAAATCACACAAATGTCACAGTGCTTCATGCTGTGGTTTATATTCTGTTGTAATTTTTTTTTTTTTTTTTGCAATTCTGTAATTCAAGCTATTTTGATCCCTCGTTTTTTCTCTCCCAATCTATTTTGTGACTTTAAAAGAACTTTACGTGAAACAAACAATTTCTGACAAAGAAAACATTCCCTCTTCAACGCATTGCGTGGTTCAATTACCCAATCTCAAGATGCCAGCGCAAAAGCCCCGGAACTCTCAAGAAAATGTGAAAAGATTGGTGATTAAAACTCCAAGACGAATATTTGTCAGGAACCTGGGCAGGGGCCAAAAGAAATTAGCGAGTTCTGGAGTGCCTTACCCTCTGGTTTGTGCTGGAAAGTCTCCGGCGAGAGATCCGGGAATTCCCTTTGGCTGTGGCGGAATTTCGTTTGCCTTTACTGGATCCTTTGCTCCGGGTTTTATTAAGGGTTTCGGAGCTATTTTTATCGCGGTTCTTTGAAGACGATTGGCTGTTTCCTGATGATACGGGCTGTCGGGCGTTGCTCTCTTCTGATTGGTCGCGCAGCTGTTCTCGCTAAAATACACGTGAAATGCGCTAAAATACATATGCTGAATCTCAACGTTGAGTGAAAATGTGTGAAACATTTTCAAAAAATTAAATGAAATTGAAATAAGGTAAACAATAAAGGCTAAAATGACATTACAGAAGGTCATGTTGAAAAAAAAATCAGGTTTAAAAATAAAATTACCCGTAATGCCCTCTCCTCCCTGTCCCTCACTTTAGCCTCGGCGTCTGCCTTGGCCGTTTCCTTGTTTGTCTTGGACCCTCCGTTATACTCATAATCTTCATCGTCATCGTCCTCTATAAACAAATGATTCTCCTCCTCATTTTCGTCATCATCAAACACGTACTGAATCCTTTTCTTCACGACTTTTTTAGGTTTTACAATCGTATTCTTCTCTCGCACAATCTTGTGTTTGTATTTGATTCGATTTTCTAACGATTTCTTCACACTTGAGTGATTTAGCTTACCTAACGCTTTGATATCATCAATACCCGAAGACGATTTTAGTACAGTGTAATCGATACTCGCAGAAAGCAGCTCGAATTCTTTCATTTTGGTTGGACTCGATACCCGTAATTTCGCGACTTTCTTCTTCTTAGCGGTGAAGTCTTTTTTGCTGGAAGAGGCAAGGATATCTGAAGCGGATTTAATCTGAGAATCCGTGCCTGCTTTGATGTCTAAATCTTCTGGTTTAATAAGTGGACCCCCTTCTTTTGGATCAAGTTGTAAATCCAGAGGTTGTCCTGTGATGCTTTGCGCAGATCCCGTGGCGCCTTGATGGAGAGCGATGATCTGCTCCTCGACCTTCTGCTGCTTCTTCTCATCCTCAACGCGCGAGTGGACGAACGGCGCCACGTTAGCTATGGGGATGTTTTTTGTGTGCCCCCAGTTGCAGGCTAGGGAGTTTCTTCTGATGACCTCGGAGGTGGATCTCTGAAAAGACAAGTTCCCCGTGGACGCCTTGGAAGGGTCTTCCAGCATCGGCTGGAGAGACTGCTGTTGCTGCTCTGGAGATAGAGCAGCGCCGAGGCTACATCGCCTCACAACGATGGCGTTTCCCGACATTTCTTCTTTGGAGTTGGGAACATCTTTTGCCAGGGAACCGGCCCCGCTGCTGTTGCAGAAGTTGCTGTTGTTGTTGGCAACGTCATGGCTGTTGTTGTTGTTTTTGTAGGCTTCTTTCAAGACGGGGGCGTCTGCAGCGGGGGTGCCGTTATTTGTAGGGAGCGAGGAACTTGAGGAGCTTGTTTGAGATAAAGTCCGATTCAGCGACGGCTTTCCCTGGCCTTTTTTTATCGGGGCTAACGTTGGGGGGTCGTCGTTATTTTGTTGAGTTCTCACCCCTTGATCTTCATTTGTTACTTCCCCCTCGTCTTCCTGGGGACTGAGGATTGGCATTTTTGGGGAAGTAGGAATCGGACTGCAAGTACTGCTGGCTATAATTTTTCTTTTACACTCAGAGGAGATGCCCCCGGCTTCGTGTTTACTGCTAGTTGAACTGATGATCCTTTTTAGAGACTCATCTTGGTTGAAAGCATTGAGGATCATATGTTTCTTTGACCAGGCTTTATGGGGAATTGAAGTCTTTGAAGAAGACGAGGACAGCGCCGAAGGGGAGAGCGGTGCGGTCATTGGACTAATTGACTGAGGGATGGTCACTGAAAGTGGGAGCGCGAATTTGGCGGACGCTTGGTTGATCACAGAGTCTTTGGCGGAAGTTTCCTCGGCGGATTTCGGTGGAGCCGGAAGTTGAGGGGATAAAATAATGACGTCGGACGAGTTATCATCCAGTTTGACGTCGATGTTTTTGTCTACCGCATTACCGTTGTTTACTCGTTCGGACTTGGCATTGGAAGAATCAACTTTTTTATGACTAGACCCGCGTGAATCATCCACCTTCGACGTTCTATCCGGCATGCTGGAACTACTTTCCTTCCGCGCCGTTTCAGCGAGTTTTGTGTATTCGGGGTTTTGTTGATTCGACGCCCCGGGGCAGCTACCGCGTCGAGATAGCGCACGTCTGCTTTCTTCCCGGACGCCGCCTGCAGGAAGATGAGAAGCCGTCTGCGGGAGGGAAGACTTCATGAAATCGTTGGATTTCGCACCGCGTTCCGATCTCGCGTATGGATATTTCATGACGTCATTCTCCCTGGCCATGATCATGTTTTGAGAATTTTTCGCGTACCCTGGGACTAGCTTAGGCGGCTGGTAGTCTCCAGGTGCGGCCTGAAAGGGCTGCGTCTGAGGGAACCCCGGGCGTATGGAGAGTCTTTGCTGGGCGTTCCACTTCTGGCTGGACGCTAGAGTGTTGTGGGCAGCACCGGCTGGTTGTTTGTACGACTCCGCTTCCGTGCGTTTTCTCTGCTGCTGTTGTTGTTGCTTCTGGTACATCCGATCCATTTCCTCGTGCTTGCTGCTGTACTCGGCCCCGTGGTAATGCTGTTGTGAATAAAGCTGAGCTTGCTGTTTGGAAAATGCTTGCTGTGAGTGCTGCTGGTGAAGCTGGTCCTTTGTGTACTGACTTTGCTGGGGGTGGGAGAACGGGGACAGCTGGGATTGCTGATCTTTCTGCCGCTGCTGTAGATACATCTGTTGTTGGTGATGCTGCAGCAAAGCCGCCTGACCGCTGAAGGATCTGAGCTGTCCCATTGTGGATGCTCGTGAAGCTTGTAAAGGATCGCTGGAGTCTTTCAAGCCCAGCTCTATACTTTCTTGTTGATCGCTGAGCTTCTGATGATGCTGATGGAGCGGGTGGGATTCCATCCGCTGCTGAAGATGCTGTTGCTGCTGCTTCATATACGAATGTGTGAAAGCTTGCTGCTGTTGGGATTGTGATGGTATGTCGCGGGAGGAGGGTGGGATGTCGTAGTTTTGTTGCGGGTGACGAACAACCACGACCTCATTGGTGTTCTCCAGACTCCGTGGGCTGATTGTATCCTTGTACATGCGCTTCGAATCAACGTGCGTGTTTGATGGGGTCTCCGTCCCCATTCGCTGCTGAAGCTTCATCTGGTAGGCTTGTTCTTCTCGAACCTTCTGAAGCTGGGTGGTCAGCGGAACCATCTGGGGGTTGTTCCCGCCTGCGTGCTTGACCATCTCTGGAACAATGGACGAGCTGACCATCTTGACCTGGGAGCCGCCCATGTTAAACTTCCCGTGAAGATGAGGACTGGAAATCGGACGACCATCCGCGCTGGATCGACTTTCGACACTCGTGCGACCGTCTCCGCTGATCCTTGTTTCAGCGCTGAGTCGACCGTCGGCTACCCCGCGATGGTCAGCATGACTGTCAGGACCGTACGTGTACTTGATGTGTCGGTTCATGGCTGAGGACGACGCATGCAGAGTATAGGAAGGAGACGGCAGAGGCCGGTGCTCGTAGCTTTCCGGTCCTCTCGGAGAAGGTGATGATATCCATATCGGATTGTGGATATTATCCAAAGCATTAACATTAACTTTTTGAGGACCAACCGAACGAGGAGAGCTGGTTTCAGTTTTTTGTCTTTTTGCTGTGAATTCCTGAATCTCGTCTTCATTGTGTCTTTTCTTAGTTTTTACAGTAAGATCTAAGGGGCTGTCACCAGGTTTGGAAGTTCCTTGGGGTAGTTTTGTTAAGTCTAAAGCTGACTGCCCCGCTGTTTTCTCCGTCTGCCCGTGTACCTGACGATCATCGTGAGGAATAACAGACACGGATGTCTGAATTTGAGGCGTCCGGCCAATTGATGACGGCCTGGAGGTACCGTATTCTCTGGGAGAGACTTGATAACGATCGGATGTCGCCTGCGCGCGTTGGTCTTGGTAGGAGCTGGGTTTGATAGCTGTGTCGTACATGATCCTGGGCTGACCAGTGCTGATGGAGCCTTGAAGTCTGGGAGGGCCAACATCACGTAGGGAGAGGTGGTTGGGCTCGTGGTCACTCACAAGTGACGGTAGAGGTTTTGGGGTTGTAATGTCCTCCGTGTGGTACGCCGGTCGGGGTTGTTTTGGCGCAGACTGAGCGTACCCTCCTTCTCTCCAGGCGACCTCCTCCCCAGGGATGTTCTGTCTGATGACGGTGTTCTTCTGCATCTGCCCGGGGGTGTGATGCTCGTGGCCGAACGCCCCGCCCCTCTCGGGTATAGACTGCGGCTGTGGGGGGTAAGCGGATGTATGTAAAACCGGGGGTTGTTGCGCATGCGTGACCATAGAAGACGGGGCCTGCCCACTCCTAGGGGTCATATCTGCGCTTAAAGGGTACGACATAACTTTGGTCAGACCCGCCAAAGACTCGTGGCTTTGAGTTTTGTTGTAGAGTTGTTGAGGAACTGCAGAGCTTCCCCCAGTAAATGAAGCAGACTTTCTCAAATGCTCCTCGTGTCGTCGCCCATCTGAAAGTGAAGCATCGATCGCAATCTGCTTCATATGTTGACTAGACATCTCCATACCGTGTTTCTGTACAGATCTAGATAAAGACGAACTATAACGTGGGTCCCGTATATCTGACCCTAGATCTCTCATCATATCCCTATGCTGTGGAGATATAGGCTCACTCTGGTGAAGAACCATCCCCTGTTTTATATCGTGAACAGAAGAAGGCTTTCCCATTTCTGAAATATAATGTTCGGGTGGTATTTTAGAGTATTCGCCTTGATAGACTCTAGACTGTTTTCCGGGTAAATAATTCGAATGATCCTGGGTAGGATGGATGTTGGGCCCCGAAGGAAGTAAGTTTTCTGAAGGTCTCGGCTTCTGCGGTGGGTACGTATGGACCATGGGTGGGCCTGGCATATTCTGGGATCCGATAGATTTGGTTTGGTTACCGTGAGGTGGGTGTCCAGCCGCTCCCGGGGGTAGCTGCGCGGCGTACGTCGCCATCCCGGCTTCTATTCCATCGTATACAGCACGGAGAGGATCGTTCAGGGATTGTTGATGCGGGCGTGAAGATCTACCAGGCGACGGTAAAGGCATCTGGCTGGCTCGGGCTTCAGCGAGGAGAAGAGTTTCTCTGGAGGTCCGGGCGTCGGGGATCATTCCACGTTTCTCCTGTCCCATCACGGGGTAGTTCCTGGAATCTGCCCGTTGTATGGCATGCTGCTGCGCCATCTGGTGGTGATGGAGTTCCGGCATCATTCTCTGTGCATCTTTTGAAGGCATCGGTTCCATACCTCTCGGATTATGACCGACCCGGTTTCCTTCCATGCTTTTCACATCGCGCGGCTGTAGCTGTGGGTCATGACCGGTCATACGAAGGTCATGGCTGGACAACCCCATCGCCTTGTGACCCCGGGGGTCGATCGGCACCGCTCTTGGAGCCCGTGGGTCATCTGTAGGTATCAGCTTCCCCTGTCGGCTCATGTAATGGTGCAAGCTGTCCGAGGTGACGGTGGTGTGGTGTGAGAAGCCCGGCGGACCGCTGAGGGACATGGTCATCTCGACCCCCGTCCCATGCCGGCCCACCACGTCCTTCAACGGATCCATACCTCGCGAGAACCCAGAAATCACTAAGATACGAGATGGAAGTCCGTTTTAAATTCCCTTCTCATTTCTTTTGACGCCGATAATTCTGCAAAGAAAATTTTTAAAAATGTCAATTTTAATTAAATTTGTAAAAAAAAAAATGAAACTAAAAACAGAAAATCTAAATGTAGCTAAAAAACGTTATGCCCTACAAACTGTTCATTAATTTACAATAGCGATCGAATTCTTAATTTTTTATTTTTTATTTCTTTGTTTGTTTTTTTATTTCTAGATCCCATTTGAATTAATTTTTTAGAGCTTCAACAGTGGTGAAGTTAATTAAACATGATTAGTACAGTGGTTCTCAGAACTGTGTGTAGGTAGCCAGAAGGGTAGTTTTGTTTTGGGCAGTGCGTGAAGGTTTAAAACTATTGTTGTTAGAAACTACACATCAAACACCAGCCAATAGACGGGGATATTAAAGATCGTAAATGGGGATGGATAGGGCATTCACTGAGAAGGGGGGAGGACAACATTACGAGGAAAACATTGGACTGGAATCCCCAGGGGAAGAGGAAAGTAGGTCGGCCAAGGAAATTCTGGAGAAGGACATTAGAAGAAGAGACAAGGGCTGCCGGGCTTACGTGGGCGAACATAAAGCCAGTCGCTCAAACCCAAGTCCGATGGTAAGGTGTGTTTGCATCCCTTTACTCAAAAGGGGTCTCAAATAAAAAAGTTAAGTGAAGTTGTTTGAAGCAATTTTTTGATAACCAAAAAAAGGAAAAAATATTTTTTTAAATACAATATTTTATATGTCGAGCTGGACCTAAATATCGCTTCATACGCCATGGTCAGAGAAAGAAGATAGCTCTAATTATTCTACTCTATGGACTGAGTTAATTACATTTGACTAAAGGTCATACGTAATGATGATATACATAATATTATAGGTCATGTTCTGGAACGTAGAGATACTTTACTAAGGTCCATGAAGATAAAATTTGAGAACCTTCAGCGTAGTGATTTTTTATAAGCAGATGAATTCGATTTTTAAAAAGGTCTGCCGACATAAAACTAAATTATAACTGAATTTAGCTTTTTTTTTATTTAAAAAAAAAAACAAAATTAAACGAACCTTAAGTGAATAAAGCATTGAGCCGTTAAAAACCTTGAAAATACTTTGAAATTTTATAGACATTTGAAGCTAATGGAAATAAAAATGCTTCGGTTTGCTTTTAATGAAGAAAAAACTTTAAACTGTTGTTCTTTTTTGTAAATAAGTGAAAGATATGATTAGCATATTTTATATTTGAGAGTTACTTAAGACTATTAAATAAAACATTAAAATATAAACGTTACCTTTTTACATTTGATATTTAAATTTAGCACAATTTTTTCAGGATGTAAACAAATGTTAAAGAACAAGTGGACAGCAGTAGTCATATTCACAGAATGGTCGTATTCAGAAATCGTTGGATAACTGAATGATACTCTATTAGTAACGATTTTTAAATAGTTTTTATGATGGTTATTAAAAAGAATAACATTTCTCTACATATAGTATGTGTCAACTTTTTCAAGGTATTTATTTTTGGATAGATCTGGCCTTATCACTACCCAATCCGTCCCAACCCTCCAGTCCACCAATTTTTACAAGCTTTTATTTAACTCACTTTCCTCGTCAGTCTGTCTAGATCGAAACGGTCGAGCGAAATGTCAGGCACTTCTAACTGACAGATACGGTTCGTAATTGGTACGTGGGTCAGGGTTAGTAACTATGAAGCGTGGGTCTCTTCCTAAACATTAGTAAAGGTATCTAATAGATACTAAAGTGACCCACGCTTTTCTTTATAATTACTTAAATAGTAGTCTATAATTTATTTTCTACTTTTTAGTGCATTAGTACATAAAAGCTTGTTATTAAAAACGTTTTTATGAATTTTTTTAAATTAAAATACAGACGTGTTTTAGTTTTCCCGATTATATCATCTATATACATATACGATTGTATTGTGTACATACGTTCATATATAAAATTGTCAGATGGAATCGTGTATACAATTTTAAGATTACATTATATAAAACATTTTAAGATAGAATCATCAATATGTCTTTTCGAAGATCTAATATATATTGTAATGTGTCAAAAGAAATAAAACTTTCACACATTTTTATCCCACAATAACGAAGGTTAAACAAATGTGATATATTAAACTGCATTTTTTATCCATGTAAAACCAATTCTCGGTATTATTTCGTCTAGTTTCACAACAAATTGAAGATAAACATCCAACATAAAAAAAAATTCTTTTAGACTGAAAAACATCCATTATACTGTATTTTTTAAACCACGTAGAATTAGAAAATAAAAACCACATTTCTGCAACAACAAGAAACCCCACTATAATAGCAACAACAAAAAAAGAAACAATTTTAGCAACGAAACGAAATATTTAGAAAAACTTTTCATCCGCGTGTAGTACAGACGCATCAATCCAAATTAATCCATCGTGAATGCCCAATTTCTCTTAATGTTATTCCAGCTTTTTTTTCGCTTGAGTTCCGTTTTTTTTATAAACGTTTTCTATGGGGGGAAAAATAAACAAACCATGCTTTTAGCGGGAGTGAAATTGGAAACCAGCTTAGAGGAAAGGATTTTTGAATTGACATTTTTTACTTGCTGTTTTGAGGAAGAATGAAAAGAGAGAGGGGTGTGTGTGTGGGGAGGGGGGGGGGGAATGGATGACCGGCATGGTGTAAAATGAGAAAGTCCGGTTGGAACTGGCCGAACCGGCTTTTCAGTCTAGCCGGTCTTTCTAAAATTGAATAGTTAAAAATGTGGATTGAGATATTTTTTTTTATCAGTGTTGCTTTTTAACAAAAGTTTATTTTAAAAAAAATTAAAATCAACAAAATTTAAATATTGAATGTTTTGTATTTTGTGTAATTTTATTTTTATTTATAAACCAAATATCGTTTGGTATACACAGCAATGAATGTTGTGCAATCTTCAAGACGGTTCAAAAAATTGTTTCTAATTTTAAAATGTTGACAATAGCGAGATAGATCACCCGACGGACAGATGGATAGATAGATGCCTCCAACAGCATTCAATGCAAAATCTACGCTGAAATAAAACAGCTCGTTAGACCCAATGGAGGAAATAAAAAATAACGTTCGTTCGATGAAGAAAAATAGAAGCAGAACGAAGAGTAAAAAAAAAAAATAACAAGAAAATTAAATTACAAGCAGCAACAAATATCTGGTTAATTTTTTTTTTATATTCATAAAACAGAAAATTAGATTATTTATTATAAGAAAAATCATTCGCTATTCAGGTAAAAATATTAAAAAAAAAAAAAAAAGAAATGCTAGCGGGTATTCAAAGATTAAGGCAAACGGTTTAGGAACTATTGATTGAAAGCAAGAATAAAAAATATATTCATAATTTAGATACAAAAAAAAATTGAAAAAAATAAAAATAAGTTCACCTTAAAAAAAATTAATTAATTAAAAAATCTGTCTTCATCTGAGTTCTAAATGATGTGAATCTTCTAGCAAAACCCGTCACATTTTTTTGTGATGGATTCTAGCGCTTTATGATACTGTACCCGTTCAACTCTCAACAAACAAAAACGTTGTAAAGTAAAATATATTACAGCGGATGTATCGGAACTTATCTTCAAGGAAACAAACGTCATTGTAAACCTGGTATTAAATCTACAATGGGGCCGTATTTCTTTTAAGCAGGTAATGAAATTTTATGCCTGTACTGGATGACTCCGTTGTTGTGAAAATGGTGATAAAAAAAAGTCATTAGTTTTCAATGTGCATCCAGGTTGTGGCGTGAAAGGTCTAATTGCGCCCTCAGGGAACCTCAGCTATGTCAGGTATAAATGTCGGAGAGAATTTTAAAAGTTCTAGTAAAAGTTCAACTCCAGAAAAAACTAATAACGAAACAAAATTAATTTTTAATATTATAGAATTTTTTTTTCATTTTTAAAAGAAAGGGTGCAAATGAATCAAACTTTAAAAAAAATAATAATAAAAAGTAAAGTTCTTTAAAAAAAAAAGAAAACTTCATAAAAATTAAAATTTGAACTTAAAGAAACAAAATAAAAACAAAACTAGGATGAGGTTAAAAAATGCTTGTGCTCGGTAAAATTAAATTGTAAAATGTTAAAAAGCATTCAGTGCAAAGCCATAAAGTATATCAAACGGGTTTTCTATGAAGATAACCGGATTTGGAAAAAAAAATTTTCTTGCTGGAGATTAATCTAACCAATCCTAACATTTCAAATGCATTATCTACTGTTTCAAGAGATATACACACAAGACAATTAAACAATCTTTTAGCAGTATTCTTATTTTATAAGTATTTAAACTAAGATTAAATGTAAACTTTTTTTTAATTATGATAGTGATAAAATACTATATTTAAAGAAAATAGTAAACTTTTCTACAACAGTATATAATAGAAACAAGACACTATTGTAAAAATAAAGTGCTAAATATATACTTTAGGAAAGCCCGCTTCTATTTTTAGCAGCTGACGTTGCCCTCATCCATCTTTTCCTTAAGGTAAAGACCCCGTCACACCCGAAGAAACAACTCCGCGATCTATTTTTGGAAGGTCAACAACATAGTTCTAGACGTTGCTAAATTAAACAATAATTCGTTCGTTAAATTAAAATCATTCACTCTTAAACCGACCATCAAGATGTTTGAGTTTGTGTTAAATTATCCCGTGAAAACGTTGTCTAACTGTTGTGAGTAGGTTTAGGGTTGGTTTATCTTTTGGAAAAACTGGTTTTGCTGTTCGGGAGGAGGGTTGTGCTGGTTTATGCGACAGGGTTTGTACTATTAAAACAAGGTAAATATCCGCACTCTCGCGTTGTGCTGTTTTATCGAAAAATCAATGATTGTCATCTACTAAAGTCTAGACGTTTAATCGAATTTTTAATCGAGTTTTTAAATAAATTATAAACCATAAAAGTTCGAATATTCATACTATGCTAGGAGTTGTTTTTTTCGCTTTTTTAAAAATTAAATTTATATCCACTTATACGTTCATTGTCAACTTTACTTTTCCGGTTATAAAACACA